CCTCCTTGATCATAACAAAACCCTTTTCCTCATTCATCTTAAGGAAACGATCTTCATGTAACTTTGAGTTGAAATCTTCGACAGTTTCGAAGGTGAATGGTCGAACGAGTGCTAAGTTACGTGTAGCGCGACCAGACTGGGATAGGAAAGTTACAAACTCGTGCTTGGTCCCCGGGATGATTTCGAGATGTCCATCTCGATTCCACATAAATAGTTTACGATGAGCTGTCGAAGGTACAGCTCCCACTCCATGGATCCATTCTCTACCAAGTAGTGCATTAAAGTTGGCGTGCGATTGGACCACAACAAATACGGTAGGCCTTGAGTAAGTACCTACCTTCACGTCTAAAGCGATCATACCCTCGATCCCGATGTTTTTCCGCTGAAATCGGAAATCATAATGTTGTGTTTGACTAGATCTTTAAGCTCGATGCCAAACCTCTTCGAGCATGGAGATTGGCAATATGTTTACTCGCTGCGCCACCATCGATAAGGACCTTGTTCACCATTTGTCCTTGGATCTCGATGTTTAATAGTAAAGGCTTCAAGTGAAACCTCATTTCTTCGGATGGAGGGTCGATGAAGGCAACATCTCTATGAGGTATTTCGCACGATGCCCGAGTTACCCATGTCACCTTTGGCCTTATGTTTTCCGAATAGAAGTCATCTTCTCGATTAACATCACTCTGTTCTTGATATTCCTTGTATTCGTTGACATATTCCGCGGGTAATATCGATATCACTCCGATTTGATGTTCGTTCCGAGTTGCCTTCATTCTTGTCATCGAAGAATTCCCTTGAATATTGGCTTTCCATAGGTACAATATTCTCTTCAAAGTTTCTATAATTACTCCGAGTAAGGGATCCTTCCTCCTCTTCTCCAGGGCCTTCCTCGGAATCTTCTTGGGAATGTTGGGAATCCAGTGTTTGATCCTTCATCGTATGATAGTCTCTCAAAGACATCACTACTTTGAAGTCTTCCTCTTCCTCCTCGAGAAGGATACATCTCTCTTCTAACCCATTGCCTTTGATTCCCGCTAACACCAGAACCAACAGATTTCTGTTGACTTTCTTCGATAGTTGGTCGGGCCGTCTGCTCCACTTTATCATTTTTCCTTATGTTTTGACTCTCGATCTTCTTTGTTTGTTCAATTTTGAAAGCTTTGGCAACCGATTTATCGAAAACCGCACTCGCACCGTGGGCATAGCGACACGTCTTCGTCTTTCTCTTTCTTCCTATTCAAAAATTCAACGAGAGAGTCTCCTGCTCGAGGGTATATCTCTTTCTCAAATTCTTTTTCGAATTCGCTCAAGTCGAACTCCATATCTTCCTCCGATACGTCCATTCTGATATGCTTGGGATCGATGTCTTCAGTAACATCGACCATGCCTATGAAGGTGGCATTCATCAGTCTAACGTCATCCTTCATCTCAGTTTGGGATTCAATATATCCCACTTGGACTTCGAACGGACTCGTGTCCACTTTCATCGCTGTCTCCCCAAACTTCGAGTCTTCCTTGGTCGATTGCATCTTGAACCGTGTTCCTGAAATGTATACAATTGTTAGTCCGAGTGTCCATAAATATTATGAAATTTACAATATTTTCGACCACCCCTTTGTTCTGCGAAGGCGGTTTGTGATCTTCGCTTAACTTAATCTGTTTATCTTTTAGTAGAATGTCGAAGATCTTATCTCGCTTTTGTTACATCGAAAGTATAGGTTCGATTTGTCATTTTATCTTTCACTTCATTCTTTTGCAACAATTTACAAGTATATGGAGCTCCTACTTTGAGCTCGCTATATTCACTTTCTCATCAACATTTTCCTCGATATCATTTTTCGTTGAGGGATCTACTTCATACACATCATTTATATAGGCTATTCTTTCTTTTTTCACAGGTTTCTCAAATTTCTTGTGCCTTTGTTTCTCATACTCGATTTGTTCCACTCTCCTCACTTTATCGACTAACTCGAGCCATGTCATTTAATGGCAAATTTACCAACTTTTTCCTAATCGAGAATTCTAAACCTGCAGAAGCCATCCCGACTAATTCGTATTCGGGAATTTGAGTAAAACATCTTGATTTCATTTGTCTAAATCGATTCGAGATAATCATCTATGTTTTCATGATTATATCGTTTTATGTTCATCAAATCAATGAGACTTACTTGAGTTTCTCCTCTAAAGAATTGTTCATGGAAATTTCTTTCTAAGCTGCAACCAATTATATATCGAATTGGGTGGCAATGAAGTAAACCAAGTGAAAGCATTCTTAGTCAAGGAACTAGGGAAATACTTCATTTTTAACTCTTCACTCATTGCTAAGTCCCCACACTCTATCCGATATCGAGCTACATGCTCGATAGTTGATTCACCAACTTCTCCAGACAAATTTAGTGAATTTGGGTACTTTGTATCCTCGAGGCAATTCCGTCTCGAGAATCGCATTTGGAAAAGGAGACACAAAATATGTCCGATTGGGTGGTCTTAAATCCGTCCCTTGGAAATTCATCCTTTGTCCTAACATGTGATTATATTGCGTATTATTCGATTATGAATATTTTGAAATCCCTCATTCAGATTTCCGTAAATATCATTCCTCACATGTTGATATTCGTTCCCCATTTGCTGATATTGATCATTGTTCCGATTCCTTCTTAATAAATAAGGGGGATTAATATTCTGATTGGCATGATTCTCCATCCTCGTTTGTCGAGGTACAGCCAATGCGTCTCCAATTCGAGACATTTGATCCGCTAATATCTCGAAACTAGCAGTAGTATTTTGAACTAATGGGTTTAAGACCGTAGTCAACTGCTGTGATAACATATTCACCATTTCAAAATTACTCTCATCCATTTGTTGTCTAAGTATTCCTAGGGAGTTACTGGAAATCCCAGTATTAGTATTTTCGATATTCTCGAAATTAGATCGATGATAGTCCCTATCAAATGCATATCTCCCATGATCGAGATTCCCCCTAGGATCTAGATTTGGAGGTGTCTGTTGTATCCCTAAGTTTGGTCCATTCCCTGAATTTTGTGATATCACTGAATTTTGAGATGCCCCTAAATGTGTAGATACTCCAAAGTTTTGTGGCATGCCTAGGGTTTGAAATGTACCTCCGTTTGGAGGCGTTCCTAAGCTGTATCGTGAATTTCTATGTATCGATGAAGTGCCAGCTCCATTCATGTTATTGGGTAAAAAACCAGGTGGTCTTACACTAGTATATGGCCCTGCATATGTGGTTATGGGGTTCCCCATAGTTTGCATATTATTTGATATTGCTATACTAGACCCTACATGGGTGTTTGCCAATGTACCTGGATTTTGTTCATTACTTGCTGGTATCGACGTGCTCACAGTTGTCGACACTACAGGCATACTCCCATTATGCCCTTGTCCCCCAGTATTTGGTGGGAGCACACCACTTAGACCCTCATTGTTATTCTGACTACTTGATGAATTCTGACTCATTCTTATAACTCTCCCACTTCTTAATCTCATACACTCTCGAACTAACCTCTTTTGTGTTTTTTCAACACAAACCCCTACTCGGCGCGCCAATTTGTTTCTAGTGGAATTTTGATCGATTTCGATCCTAAGGGTATTTTGGTCCTAATCGAAATTCTACCATGTAAGTTCTTTTTTACTTAGGCTAGCAATTTGATTTTCAATCGAAAATGTGTATGAGAGTCGAAAACTATAAGTATCGAGAAATACTATTTTTGGTATTTTATGTCTAAAATGCTCGAATCAAACAAAGCAGTAAAGTATCGAATCGAGAAAAGAGTATTAAATTGCAAGAAAATGCGAAAACCCCAAATTTGCAAGAAATTAAGTTTGCAAGAGAAATAAAGGACAGGAAATCGAAATGTGCGGGAAATGTAAATTGCTAAAACCCATAAGATTGCATAAAAAGTAAATAACAGGAAATCGAAATGACATTGAATGTAGTATACAAGAATATGAAATTGCTTGAATTGAAATGGCTCGAAAGTAAATTACCAAGGAAAATAAAGAAAGCGATAAATGTACTCAGTGAGCGGGAAATCCAGATTGCCGAAACTTCATGGTGTTCGTCGTTCCTCCGGTAGACGTTTTCACTGCCGATTCTGCGCTCCGCCAATTTTTGCTCTCCCCTGTTCCTTCCTTCTTTGCTCTATTTATAGGGCATCCTTCAAGCCTTCTAAGAGCAGTTAATACGACTGCTACCACGTTCTACGTGCGTATGGCAGTTTATCTTCTAGTTTCCCACGATCTCACGATCTCCAACTTTTACCCATGATTTCAAAACTGCTCTCTATACGTGCATTCGACTTACTTCCCTTCACGATTTGGCCAAAATCTTGATGTCCCCATTGGCTTTCTTTATTCTCGATTCTATATCTTTCGAGAACTTCGAATTGCTTACGATTCCTTTTTAATCCTGATCTTATATGACTTAGTTTTTATTTGACAACAGTCATTTGATTACAATTCATTCGATTCTCGATTGTGTTTCTCGATGCTATATGCTACGTATTTCTAATTTAGACATCGAATGAACTTCTGTTTATCTTATCGAGTCATATTTCTTCCCTTCAATTTCGATCGCTTTTCTCGATTTGCTACTAACACATGGTTTGCGGACCCAACAAGATTGGAGAAGTCAGAACCCAAAACCCAATTATTTTAAGTCTGCCCTACCTTTATAACGTGCCTTCTCACAGAGTAAAGTCTACGACTCCATCAAAAGCCATATCCTTTAACACCCTTATCAACTATTCCAAGCATAAAAAAGTGTTGGAAAATTCAATCTTATGCTATGTTGTCGTTAGTTAACATAAAAAAAGCCATTACTGTTCCCATATCCTCATCTTAGAAAGAATAAAAAACTCAGGGTGCAATCACTAACACGTACGGTGGGTATTAATTAGGTTTTCTCATGCGCTAAACATTCCTCACTTGCTTTTGCAGCAAAATCCACCTGCACTGCACCTCTATGATCATCAGCTATGGGCATCCACACGGAATGCCCTGCACCTCCATGTTACCGGCTGTTTATGAATCTGGATCATGATCCTGCTTGTTTTTTCCTTCTCCTCCTCCTTCTCGTTCCGCCAGTCAAGGCACAGTTTCAAGACCCGCCGCCGCCACCGTCGTCGTTGGATCCTTTCACGAGGCTGAGGTTCGACAAGACCATGGCTGCAGTTCTGGTTATCCTCGTCGTGGTGTTCTTCGCGTTGGGATTCGTCTCCATCTACACGCGTCAATGCGCGGAGCGGCGGATCAGGGGGAGGCTCGACCTCGCGGTGGCGATGACCGGAGGCATAGAGCAGCGGCAGCACCACGGGCTCGACTCGGCGATCGTGGACACGTTCCCGACGTTCGTGTACTCCGAGGTCAAAGCCCTAAAGATCGGGAGGGCCACGCTGGAATGCGCAGTGTGTCTTAATGAGTTCCACGACGACGAAACACTGCGTTTGATCCCCAGATGTTGCCACGTGTTTCACTCGGATTGCATCGACGCGTGGTTGGTGAATCACTCCAGTTGTCCCGTTTGCCGCGCCAACCTCGCACCCAAGCCCGAGGACGCGCCTCCTTCCCTTGAGATTCACATTCCGGACCCGGCCCGGCCCAATGGGCCACAAGCAGAGGCCGATTATGATCCCAATTACATCAACCCGGGCAATGAAGGTGAAGGTGAACGAAACAGAACAGTTACCGAGCCTCCTAGTTTAGATGATCCCAACCGGACCCGTCCGGTTCGGTCTAGATCTACCGGGTTTGCAATTTCCAGGCTGTTTCCTCGATCTCACTCAACGGGTCACTCGCTTGTTCGGCAGGGAGAAGACTGCGAGCGGTTTACACTGCGGTTGCCAGAAGATGTGCGGAACCGGCTCATGAGTTCTGGGACGCTGAACCGGACCAAGAGTTGTGGGGTGACGTGGCTGCGGCAGAGTAGTGGAAGGAGGGGTTACCGAACAAGGAGCGTGGGGAGAAGATATCTGCAATACGAGCGGTTCGGTGAGGAAGGCCGGTTGGACCGGTGGGGGTTCATGTGGACCCCACCGTTTTGGGGTAGGACCGGTTCGGGGAGATCATCAAAGTCAACGAGGATGAAGGATGAAGTGGACGTGGAAGAACGTTCCTCAGAACGCTTATTTTCCAAGGATTGAGGACGATATTGCAGGGACGTCGGTTTCTATTCATTTTTATATGCAGATTTCGTGTTCATAGTATCATTTGTAATTCGTGTTCACAGTATCACTTGTAATTGGATGAAAACACGGGGATATATTCCGTCAGAAGAAAGAAAAAGAGAATGTAAAACCTCACGTTATAAATTTATTATAACCCTGAATTTAGCCATTTTTGTAAGCTATTTTATTTATTGACACGTGGATATGCTCATCCTATTTATTATTTACATTATAGCAAGTAAATATAATTAAACATTGTTTCTACTGGAATTTCGATCGATTTCGACTCTTAAGATATTTTGACCCTAATCAAAATTATACCACGTAAGTTCTTTCTACTTAGGCTAGCAAATTAATTTTCAATCGAGATGCGTACGAGGATCGGATTTTACCCGATTTCAAAGATGTTATTTTTGGTGTTTTATATCTAAAGTGCTCGAAGTAAAGAAAACAGGAATTCTATGGAATCGAAAAGCAGTGTTGAACATTAGATTGCAAAGAAACTTAACATGCGGAGATCTTAAATTTGCTTTAAATATAAAAGACAAGGAATTGAAACAGCAGAAATGATCTTAAATTTGCTTTAAATATAAAAGACAAGGAATTAAAACAGCAGAAATGTAAATAACAGGAAGTATAAATGACAGTAAATCAAATGTGCAGAAAGTATAAATAACTTGGAAATCGAAATTGCATCAATATTAAAGGACAAGGAAAACTTAAACGCAGACACTTAACTTTCATTGAATTGAAATGACAAGGAATCGGAAGAACTAAAACATAAAATTGCGGAAGATAGATTGCATCAAAGTAAATTACCAAGGAAAATACATAAAACGGTAAAGGTACTCAATGAGCATGGAAATCCAGATTGCCAGAAGTTTCATGATGTTCGTCGTTTCTCCGGTAGACTTCTCACTAATGATTCTGTTCTCTGCCAATTTCTGCCCCTTATTCCTTCCTCCTTTGCTCTATTTATAAGGCATCATTCAAACCTTCCAGGAGCAGTTAACAAAACTGTTGCCAAGTTCTACGTGCGTGTTGCAGTTTATCTTCTATGGTTTCAATACTGTACTCACCTTCTCACGATCTTCAACTTCTACCATGGTTTAGAAACGGTTTCCCGTATGTGCGCTTGATTGTTCTTCCCTTCACAATTTGGCCAAGGTTTCGATATCCACGTAGGTTAGCCTTCTTCACTTTCGATTTTATACTTTCAAGAACTTCAAATTGCTTACGATTCCTTTTTAACCGAAACATCATATAATTCAAATTTCTTAGTTTTTTATTCGACAATAGGCATTTGGCTATCATTTATTTGATTCTCGATTGTGCTTCTCGATGTTATGTGCTACATACTTCTAATTAGACATCAAATGTTTTTCGTCTATCTTATCGATTTATCAATTAGTCGCATATTTTCTCGTTTTTCTTTCCTTCGTTTTCGATCACTTTTTTCGATTTTCCACTAACAAACATAAATATATGTAACTTAAAAATAACTTTAAAAAAACTTTTCTTTTTACGAATCTAACTATGTATCGGTATAATACACTTTGTAAACATTTTTGTTTAATAATTTATAAATCATTTTCTTTTCAACTTAAAAATATTTTACCACTTTATATTTTTTCATATAATAAGATTAAGTATCGAATATGACTAGTACATAGATATTTTATTCGAAAATAATACTTATTAATATGAAAAGGTAGTATAAGATAATAATTGATTTGAAAGAGCCATGGTAAGGACGAATAAAAGTAGACCTAAGTAAGAAAAAAAAAGAATGAAACATTCTTAATTTAAGAACCCTATATCTAATAACAAGAAGTTGGCTTTGATTGTGAGAAGTTATGGCGATTGAGAAACTGCACCCATAGTTGGGGAGTTGTCCGAGATCTAAGCGTACTGGTTACCTCAGTTCACGAACCTTTCATTAGGGGTGGTGGGGGTATATTGAGCAAGACTCTATCAAAACTCCCCTACATGAGTAGAGTATAGATAGAATTGACTCTACAAACTTTGTTGTCTATGACTAACATTATTATTGCACAAAATAAGAGGAAAGCTCGGGAAGCTAACTCCCCTCTCAAGGGTAAGAAAAAGGTCGAGGAGCGTGAACTTCACACATTGTAGAAGTTGGACGAATGCATGAAGGCTCACATGATAACCACAAAACTTTCTAGGAAGATGGAGGTCTACTTGTTGGCAAAGGAGAAAGCATATGAAGCTCTTCATTAAAATCATACGCTCGAACTTGGTTATATGGAGGAAAAATTAGTGTGTTAGCAAAAAAAAAAATTGATCTCCAACGAGTCGAAGATGTCACGAAGACCGAGATTATGAAGATATATGCGACCGATTTCTCTAGCGCCATGGATCAAGTAGCAGTCATTTTTCCTGTGTCGATTTGTCTACCATGGGACCATTCAAGAGTGTGGTAAAGTTGAGAAAGAGGACAATTAGTGCTTCATATTTTTGTTTTATTTATTGCATGTATGTATTAATTAGTATTTGGGTGAATGACTTATGATTAATCATTACTCTCTACTTTAATATATGCATATGTATGTTTTGATGTCGATTACCAGTACTTATTACTTTGATTATATTACATGTAAATAAACTGATTTCATGAGGTTGGCGTGTAGAGTTGGCCGACCTCACAGGGTTACCGTGTAGACCGACTTCTCGTGTATGACCTCACAAGTGGCAACTCATCTCCTTCTTTGCCAAAGTCATTTCTCTCTGAAACATCGAAGAAAGTCATGAGAAAGCATACATTACAAGTAGAAATCAAGTAGAAATAACATATAGAATAATGATGCTATTGATGTACACTTTTAAGTCTCTAGTTCGAAACTCTAATTTAATAAGCATAGTGTTTCTGGTGAAAATTTGATCGATTTCGATTTTTAGGAGACCTAAGTTCTAATCAAACTTCAACCACGTAGATTCTTTTTACTTAGGCTAGCAAACAGTTTTCAATCGAAACATGCATGAGAATCGAAAATTCCATAGTATCGAAAAACGCTAACAACGCAACCTAGTGAGCAGATTGACAATCGAAAGAATTCTCTTTGGTATTTTTTATTAAGAAACACGAAGTAAAGAAAACAGTAAAACATATCGAAATGAAAGGCAGTGCAGAATGTTAAATTACAGAGAATTGTAAAATGCGGAAACCTCGAAATTGCATTAATTATAAATGACAAAGAATTAAAATTGCATGAAAGTAAATAGCAGGAAATTGAAATTGCAGAAACGGTAAATGACAAGAATTTGAAAATACAGAAACTTAAATTGATGAATGTAAATTGCATGAAAGTGAATTACCAGGGAAAGTAAAGAAAGCGATAAAGACAATCAATGAAAATGGAAATCCAGAGCATTAGAAACTTCATGATGCGTCGTTCTCCTGTAGACTTTTCACTAACGTTTTTATTCTCTCCGCTAATTTCCCCTTCTTCTTCATGCTTCGTTCTGTTTATAGGTCTCCTTCAATATAACATCTCAAGAGCAGTTAAGAAAAAACTACCACCACGTTCCATGTGCACGTTCTTCGATTTTTTGCTTTAGCTTACGGTTTAGAAACTGTTTCCACGTTCTATGTGCAATTTAACCGCTCCCCGATTTTTAATCTTAGCCCCGATGTGACAAGCCTCCTCCTTATGTTCCATATGATAATCTTTTTCCCTTGATCTCGATTTCAATTACCACATACGATTTTCCTTAACCTTGATTTTGCACCATTACTTCTATCGATTTTCCTCTCTTTTCTAATTATCGATTTATGCGTTCATGCTGTCTCGTGGTCACCAGGAACCTTCCAACCATCCTTCCGATTCATCAGCTTTTAACTAATCATATGATCTTCGATTTTCTCTCTTCTGTTTTTCGATCATTGTATCGATTTCTCACTAACAAAATGCCCCCTTGGAAGAATATAAATATTTGTATCAATTTTATATTCTTTCAAAGTAATTCCCGCCCTCAAACGTTCCAGAGGTTTAAAATAACCTTTTTTAAGGTTTAGGGTTTCTGGGGTTTCCGGGGTTTCTAGGGTTTTCGGGGTTTTCTCTGCTTTATGTCACATATCAAATCACCTCCTTTCTGCTGTCACACTGCGCACGCCACGTCTTGATTACTCTTTTTGCCTTCGTCGTTTTGAATACCCTAGTCGCCTCTTTAAATACTTTTATTAGATTTTTACCCTTGTTTTTTACCACGAACCTAACTTCTTCGTTGCACCTTCTTTCATCTTCAATCCTTCTTCAAACTGTAATGGCGACCTCCAAATCCTCTGACTTCTCTACCCCACCGCTTTCCTCAGTAACTTCGACTTTGCTAGAGATAAACGAAAAGAAGTTTGATCCGGTTCCTCTGATGGAAGAAGCCTCACAAAGGATTGTCGAGACCCAGGTACTTATTCCTTATGTCGCTGATAGTGTAAATTATGCGTTTGGTGGTCCTATCCGCTACTGTGGCGGATCCTTTTCTTCTTCCTTCAGCCTTTCTTCAGAAAGTAAAGCTCTAATCCATCAGCCTGAGGTTCGAATTGATTTTCTGAATATTATCTCCAAAGTGTATCGAACGGGCCCAACCCACAAAAAATCCTTATACATTAGATGGTTCGACCGAGTGAAAACTAAGTTTGGGAATCATTGGAGAGATGTAGGGATCTTCGCTACATCTGTCTCGATGTGATTTGTCATTTTTAGATATGGTCATGTTTCTGCTGTCCATCTGTGGAACAAAGATTCACATGCACTGGAACTTCCCTGTGGTCCCCTTTCGCCTACCCTTTTTGAAGTTGCTGCCATTACTGGACTAAAACCCACAGAGGAGAAATATTTTAAAGGTGCTTTCCCCTCGGATGATTTTCTAAGGTCAAAAATCGATTGAGAATCGAAGACATATGGTCATTTCATCGAAAAACATTTTGTCGACGATCAATCGGTAGCTGTTTCAGA